ACTTAGCAAAAAAAAACACAAAACATTACTAGTAATCAACTTACCAGAAAAGACAAAAAAAAAATTACTAGTGTTGTACTGGCATAAAGATAGACACATATAGATCAATATATGAAATAGAATTCAGAGTCCAGAAATAAAGCCATACATCTATGGTCAATTGATTTCAATAAGGATGTAAAGGCTATTCAATGGGAAAAGAATATACTCTTCAACAAACAACTGGATATCTACATGCAAAAGAATGAATTTGGATCTCTACCCTGCAATATATACAAAAACTAACTAAAAATGGATCAATGACCTAAACATAAGAGTTAAAACCATAAACTTCTAAAAGTCAGAATAAAACATAGGGAAATCTTCATGACCTTGGATTTGGCAATGAATTCTTAGATATGATCCACAAGCAATAAAAGAAAAAAATAGATAAATTAGACTTCAGCAAAATTAAAATATTTTGTGCATCAAAGGACACTATCAAGAAAATGGAAAGAAAACCTGCAGAATGAGAGAAAATATTTGGAAGTCATACATCTGATAAGAGTTGGCTGGCACCCAGGATTTATAAAGAACTCTTATGACTCAGCAACAAAAAGACAAGCAGCCCACCAGAAAAATTGGCAAGGGACTTGAATAAACATTTCTCCGAATATATGCAAATGACCAAAAAGTACATTAAAAGACATTCAACATCTTATTAGAGAGATGCAAGCCAAAACAACCATGATACCACTTCATACTCACTAGAATAGGTATACTTTTTTAAAAAAATGAAAAATAATAAGTGTTACCAAAGATGTGGAGAAATAGGAACCCTCATACATTGCTAGTAGGAATGTAAAATGGTGCAGCTGGTATAGAAAACAGTTTGGCAGTTCCTCAAAAAGTTAAACAGAATTACCACATGATCTGACAGTTCCTCTCCTAGGCGTATAGCCCAAAGAATTGAAAAATTGTATTCAAACTGGTATTGACACAAATGTTCATAGCAGCACTATTCACAAGAGTCAAAAGCTGGAAATACCCAAGTCTTCATCAACAGGTAAATGGATTAACAAATTGTGGCATATCCATAAAATGGAATATGATTCAGCCATAAAAAGGAATGAAATTCCTACATGCTACAGTGTGGGTTAACCTCAAAAACATAATTCTAGGTGAAAGAAATCAGACATGCAATGTCACATATTGTATGCTTCCATTTATATGAAATATCCAGAATAGGAAAATCCATAGAGACGGAAAGCAGCTGAGTGGCTGCCAGGGATTGGGAGAAGGAGGAATTAGAAAGGGAAGGCTTTATGGGTATGGGGTTTCCTTTCAAGGGGATGAAATGTTTTGGAACTAGATAGAGGTGTTGGCTGCACAACACTGTGAATGTACTAAATGCTACTGCATTGTACATTTTGAGATGGTTAATTTTATGTTATGGGCATTTTACCCCCAAGAAAAAAAAGTACAGTGGGACAGTGACATAGAACATGCTGCAGCCATTGGCATCTATTTCGTAAATGTACATCTGCTGACAGCTATTTTCATGATCTTCATTATAAAGCAGGTTACAAATTAAATGATAAATTAAACTTTAAAAATTAAAAAATTTTAAATTAAAACAAGTTATAAACTTTTAAAAAGCAAAAGAAAAAAGAAAAGAGCAAAAGAAACTAAGAGAGAGAGAACAGAGCCAGGGAAAAATGAGAGAAGAACAGAGCGAGAAGGAGGAAGAGGATGAGAAAAAAGTGAGGAGAAAATAAATATGAGAGTGAGCTGGAACAAAAATGTTGAAGTTGGGTAATATCAAGTGTCAGTGGGGGTGTGCAGAAAGGAGAATGCAGGAATGTGCGCTCACCTACATGGCTGGCAGGAGTGCAAACTGCAGCCACTTTGGAGAACAATTTGTCAGTCGTGAATAAAATGAAAATGGACATACTCAGAGTTCTACTTCTGCATGTATGACCTAGAGAAATTATCATATATGTGCTCAAGGAGTCATGCACACAGCATTTATTTGTTGTATAAAAATACTGGAATCAACCTAAATAGTTAAGAGGATGGATATACTAATAATATGATGATATATAATCATTTAAAATAACTATTTTATATACATTGTATATGTGAAAAGACAAATACAGTTTGATGCCACGCAATATACATTAGTATATATGACATTATATTAATGTATTACTTGTATAATAAAAAGAAAATGAGGGATATAGAGAAAGAAAACTAGGGAGAATTATTCAGGGACTAATAAATGAAAGCAGCATGAAAAGAAGGAAGGAAGGAAGGACGGAATGGAGGGAGGGAAGGAGGGAGTCGGTGGGCTAAGCAAGCCAGGCTGGATTTATACCTAGAAGTAAGGACAATTAGCAAGCAGGTACATAAATCCAAGGGTTGAGGCTAAAGGAAGAGCCGTTGATGTCAAGGGGAAGGAAGAAAGAAAGACACTAGAAGCCTCAAATGAAAGCTTTACCAAGATAGATAGATTAAATGAAACATGGTTTAGTACTTACCCTGTTCCTAGTTCTTTACTGTAAGTATTCCTCGCATTGCTGTGCAACTTGAGTTACGCAAGCTGAGTTGACTGTGTTTCTGTCCAGCCACAGCAGTTTTAGCTCAGACACTATCCCGAAGGACCTGAAGGGAAGCAGGCTGTGGATCTCAGACACAATCTTCCAGACAGAAATGCAGCTGGAAGTCCCTACACCTGTGGCTGATCTTTGGGGCACAATTTCATTAGTTTTTGTTTCATGGAGACTGTGCCATGATCAAGGCTGGGAAATGTATGTGAAAAAGTATAAGGAAAATCGGAATGTAACAGGGCAACAATATTTAATACAAAATTTATCAGAGAAGGAATTGCCCTCTGTATACACTCTCACAATTTAGGGGTGGGTCAGGAGCCCAGGCATGGATTGAGTGGGTCCTCTGCTCGGGGTTTCACAAAGCTGCAATTAAGGTGTCACCTAGTCTGTGTTCTCTCACCTGGATGCTTGACTGGGGAAGAATCTGCTTCCAAGGTCACTTAGACTGTTGACAGAATTCATTTCCTTGAGTTTGTAGGAACCGAGGGCCCTGGCTTCTTATTGGCTGGCTGTTGGCTGGAGGCTGCCTTTCAGCTCCTAGAGGTCACGGCGGTTCCTTACCACATGGACTTGCCCAACATCACCATTTACTTCATCAAGCCAGATAGGACAGTCTCTAGAGAGAGTCTGCTAGCAAGAGGGAATGTCTTACAAGGTAACGTAGTCACAAGAGTGACATCCATCACCTTCGTTATATTTATTGTTCAGAAGCAAGTCACATGTCCCAACCCCATTCAAGAGGAGGGGATCCAACAAAGGTGTGAACATTAAGGTGCTGGGAATCACGGGGGCCACCGCATAATCTGTCTCATCAGCATATCTTTGTTGCTTCTGAGTTTTTAAATTAAAAATAACCTTAAAAATAATACTGGATTTTTAAAATGTAAAACACTAAATAGGAAGTAAAATCTAAACCCAGAGTATATCTGATGTCAAAGCTCATGGCCTCCTCACTCTCCTAGCCATATTTCAAATTTATATGTATATACCATGGACTAGATCCAGTTCAAACTGTACTTCCAACATTTGAGCAAATCCCTATAATGAAGAGTAAGAGCAAAGGCCTGGGAGTTCAGTGCTTTCTAGCCATTTATGTAGTCTCCAACCCCTGGGCCATGGACCAGCACTGGTCTGTGGCCTGTTTGGAACCGGGCGGCATAGGAGGAGGTGAGCAGTGGGCGAGCAAGGGAAGCTTCATTTGTATTCACAGCCGCTCGCGTCACTGGCATCACCGCATAAGCTCCGCCTCCTGTCAGATCAGCAGCGGCATTAGATTCTCATAGGAGCGCGAACCCTACTGTAAACCGTGCAGGCGAGGGATCTAGGTTGCACGCTCCTTATGAGAATCTAATGCCGGATGATCTGAGGTGGTGATGCTAGTGCTGGGGAGCAGCTGCAAATACAGACTATCGTTAGCAAAAAGGTTTGGCCGCACACTAAATGTAATGCCCTTGAATCATCCTGAAACCATTCCGCCTTCCCCCACCATCAGTGGAAAAATTGTCTTCCATGAAACCTGTCCTTGGTGCCAAAAAAGGTTGTGGACCGCTGACTGGGTATTTTTTTATCCTTAGTTCCAGCATCAATTAAAGGGAGTTAATTTTACCATCTATATTCATTTTTTTGTGGTTATTCTGGGGCTTTAAAAGAGACATTGATTACTCAGTAAATTTGTTCCTGGAATTCTTGTTACCAACGTTTATACAAAATGAAAATGAGAGGAAAGGAGAAGAAATCCTTGAATAAGTTGTGTGTTTTACTGGTCCCTCCCCAACCACCACATGATTTTGTCACCAAAACAAAATTAAACTTTGCTAATTTCATAGGAAGAAAAAAATGCACTTTATTATTTCTTTAAATTGTATGCATTTGCTTATTATTGATTTCAACGTTTTTGTCATTTGTGCTTTAAAACTTTTTCCTTTAAAGATTGTCTATGCCCTCTACCCATTTGCTTTTTGCGATGTTTATTCATTTGAATAAAGATACCATATTAATCTTTCTCTGTCTCATACACCCAAATACTCCCATCCCCTCCCTGGTTACTGATCTCATCATTTTGTTTATGGTGTGCGGAGTAGGGGGCAGAGGGCAGACGTACGGTTAGTTGCCTTTCATTTCAGTAGTCAGCTCCATCGCTCCCTGCCTGGTATATCAGCGAGTATCAGGTATAGTTTATAACCTTGAGCAGTACACGCTCCGGGAAGCACATCTTTGGAAACTTCGGTCCGCAGCGGCCGCTCGCATACGCAGCAGTCCTGCACACGGGTGGCTGCACCGCCTGCTCCCTGGGGGCTTGGGTTGCCCGAAGCGCTGCCGCCGTCCCCGCCCGCCCCGCTGCGCCCCGGGGCGCGCGCCCGTGCCCGGTCCCGGTTCGCGCCGCCGCGCCGCTCTGGAGCAGGCTGCGGTCACGCTGCGTCCGGGCGCCGCGGGGCGGGCGGCGGGGCGCTCGCAAGGTGGGCGCTGAGGGCTTCCGCGCGGGCCAGCCGGGGCCAGCGCGCTCGGCTGGGAAACTTGTGCGGCGCCGGGCCGGAGCTCCGCGCAGGGCCGGGAAATGAAAGGTAAGGAGGGGACTCCGGGGGTGCCAAGCCCGTCGCCTTCCGGAGCTGTCCGCACCCTCGCACCCCACGGCCGCTTCGGGCAACTTTGCGGGCGCGCCTTCTGCCCGGGCCCCGCCCCGGGGTGGGGGCTGCGAGGTCGCCGACCCCCGGCAGCGTCTGTGCCCCGCGGTCCAGCGTTCCTGCGCCGCCCGCGCGTCTCAAGCCAACTCGCCTCCCGGGATCCGGGCGGCGCCGCTCGCAGCTCAGCGCGCGGGCCCCTGTGGAACGCGAGTCGTCTGCCCGAGAGACTTTCGGGCAAATCTTCCCAGATCCTCTCCCACAGCTCCCACTCTTGCCCCAGGCAGCTTGGAGCCCAAAGAAACAGGCCAGGTTTGCGAGGAGCAAAGCCGGTCCAAGGGGCCCTGACGGTCTTGGTTTCACCTTGGGGAATGGGGAAGTCGCGCCACTGCCGGCAGTCCCCACCCCGATCCCTCTCTGTAAGCACAGGGCCCGACTGGGGTCAGTGTTTTCACACCGAGTTGGGGGCACGAAAAAGCTGCCTTATCAAAGGTCGCGCTGACCTGTTTTTTCTATTTGGGGATTCCCCCTGCCATAAAAAGGAAAAACAAATTTGCCAACCACCAAAGTACCTCAGCACCAAGGTCGGTTACAGTGGTATAGTTTTGAGGGTCTATTTTAGTAGAAGATTAAAGGCACAGAATCAAGATGCAGTAAGGGGGCTAGGACAAAAAATCGTTTTAGCCAGAAGACATTTGCAGAAATTGAAAAATTCTGTTTTAAAATAATAAATGGAAGGTAAAATTAGAAGCTCACTTTTGAACGTAAATCGATTTACTAAACTTCCTTCTTGACTTTTTGCTCTTAACTCTGGTAGTTAGGTATTTTGAATTTGCAAGCCTACAAACTACAATTGAATTTTATGGCAGCCTTAAAAAAATTGTTGCCTGTTCATAGTTTAGTGGTTATTTTTTCTCTCTCTTATTTTAAATTCTATGGACTATTGCATGAAAATATCCCGCTTATGAGAGAGTACAGTAACTTGGCATTGTTCTTTATGGCACTAGGAAGCCAAACAAGAACTACATGGAACAGAAAATATAAACAAAACTTGGATCTCAGTCTCCACATTTGAAAAATGAAGAGATCTGGCTGATCCTAGATCCCATATAATCTCTGAGGTTCTTTGCTGTCCTGAAAAATCTGTGTGTGTGTCCTCAGGAGTTTGGGATACAAATATTAATTGATATGTAGAGGAAGCTATTATCCTCAAAATTTTATACATTTAAATTTAGACATTTGATAATTGAGTTTCTTTAATCATATCAGTCTCTCAAAATAGCTGAATCATTGTGCACCCTGTGCTTCTAAAAGGTTATATTCTATGCTATTAAATAAAAATGTGTCATGGGCAACCAAAATCCCATACTTCTTACCACAAGACTGACTAAGACTGTTGACACACCGAGCTTAATTTTGAAACAGTTCTCCGGGAAAGATCAAGAATGTTATGACGCATTTGCTCCAATATGTGAGTATAACAACACCTAAGCAACATGGCAGGCAAGAAATTTCAAAACTGCTTTGGAAAATATCCATGATAGATCCACAAGACTGTAAATTGCAGTTGAGATCATTATTTGTTAATTATGGTCATTGGTTAACTGGGATTATAAACTATAGAGAATATGAATTTATCTACAATTAATAGAAGAGTATATTGAATCATTGATTAGATTCTCTTAAAGGAGGAGGGGAAATGTTTCTCCCTTTTATCTAAGTACTTAGGAGTCTTAAACTGAAAGTTAACAACAGGTATTTTCTAAATTAAATAAATAAATAACCAAAAGTTCTTGACTTAAATTAGCTGTAAAAATGCTGGGTCCTCCTCCAACCCAGAGAATCCAGGGACTAATTCATATAGACCTAGAGTGAGACCTTCTCATTTTGTGTTCTTTAACAATTTCAGAGTGTGTGAGTGCCAAACTTTCAGTAGCTCTCACACTCTGAAATTGGCCAGGGTGGAATAATCAAGAAGTGGGTGTAGGCTAGTATTAGAAAGAGAAGCAACTGGCTAAGCTTGAAATAGAATCTCCCTCTCTCTGAGCTTCATTTTCCACTCTGAACAATGCTGATAATAATATTTAGGTAGCAGAGTTGCTGTAACTCCCAAATGGGTCCATGTATGTAAGATCTAATGCTTGCATACACTAACTATTGGTTAGTAATTGCACAGCTAATCTTGGTTCTCCTTGTCTTCCTTGGTTCTCCCTGTCTTCTGTGGAGGGTGTCTGTTTATTTACTGAACAAATTGTAGGCTGAACACTAGGTTACAGGTTTTCCTTTTAATTTCAAAAATTCTGTGTGACATAGTCTTGATAATTGTTCAATCTGGGCAATAGGCATATGGGGATTTATCATGTACTATTGTCTCTATTTTTGTGCATGTTTAAAATTATTCATCAGAAAAAAATTTTGAGTTTGAATCTGAAAAACATCACATTATAAAAGACATTTCTAATCCAGAATTTCATTTTAAATTGTATTTTTTATTATTGAACATATAAATATGGAAAACACAAATTATATGCTGTATAGGGAGTGGGTGGGCAGAGAATGGTATTGGAGAACAATTCATGGTGGTGTTCAACTTTTTTGTGGAATTTTTCTTTATTATGAAAAGGATCTAAAGAAAATATACTGTTGATGTTTATTAATTCTGGTTGTTGGGTTCATGGATTTTTATTATTTTTTGAAATTTTTACAGTTAAAATATTTCAAATTAATATGAAATCACTTTCTTATTTTATAAAATTGTTATAAGGAATGCAAACAATGCAGATATATAGAAAGAAAAAAAATGAGAAGTATCTCACCATCCAGAAATATTCATCTTTAACAATAAGTGAAAATAATTCTGTATGTCTTTATGCATTTATACAAATAGGATATATTGCTAGATAAAAAACAGAAATGCTTTTATAAAAAATAGTATTGTTAAATTAAATAAGCAGGAGGCCATTAGCCTGAGGCTGTTTCCCTACTTTGAGTTCCTATGTAAAAAACTTACTAACTGACCTAACTTTGTGTGTAAACAAACAGAAACCTGACTTAGAGGAGTCTATTTTTTATAACACATAGTCAAGTTTTAGCCAATCACAAACAGCCAAGTGTCAGCCAATCGCAGGCAGCCAGTTCATCACACCATGTCCAAATAAGACTGATGCCTAGCTGTAGCCAATCAAGTGGTTTCTCAACTTTGTTTCTGTGATCAGCTTATAAAAGTTCATTGCTCATGCTGCTGGGTGGAGCTCTCTAAACCTCTTCTGCTTCTGAGTGCTGCCTGATTCATGAATAGTTCTTTGCTCAAATAAAATCTGTTAAATTTGATTTGTCTAAAGTTTTTCTTTCAACAGGATAATACTAGATATACTTTTTAAATAAAAATTTTATGATATATTGACAGAAGAAGAAATAGTAGTGAAAGTGAAGGAATTGTGAACTTGACATCAGTGTTTCTTTATCCTGAGAGAGAATAGGTTCTAAACATGTCTTCCAAATTAAGAGAAGAGATTCTGAATACATCTTGAGGTCAAAATTTTTTACACATATATTAGTCATAAACATATACACTCAGGGGCTCCCTGTTATAGAAGATGAAGCATTGGCACTTTTATACTATACTTCCTATAGTTTCTCTTCTACTCATATCCCAATTTTTTTGGTATATGTATGTTTTCATGCTGTATCTATAACTTTTGTACTGCATTTTGTAAACCTCATTTCAGCCATTATTTAGTCTTGGTTTTATAACTAGAATCATTGTTGATCACTAGTCCTTTTACCATGGCATCTCAAGTATCAACTTTTAAATTTTCATTTATCTTTTGATTGGCTAGATTTGTTCACATGTGTTTGGATTTTTTTTCCCCCCAAGAAGGGCTCATTTCTTGTTGTGTCTTTTTATATTTAAAAGGTCCATCTTTTATTTCTATACAGACAATCCCCAACTTACAATGGTTTGACTTATGATGTTTCAACTTTACAGTGGTGCAAAAGCAATACACATTCAGTACGCTCCTTGACTTACAATGAGTTGTGTCCAGATAAACTCACTTATTGTCACTGTAAATTGAAACTATTGAAAAATGCAAAAGTGCATTTTTGACTTATGATATTCTCAACTTACAACGGGTTTATTCAGATGTAGTCTCATTGTAAGTCAAAAAGCATCTGTACTTGAATTACCATTTGACTCATTTTAACATTTCTGGGCCACAGTTTCCTTACATAGTACAGCCCTTGCTCCATTAGCTTCTGGCATCTATCATGGCTATGGAAAAGTCTAAGATTTGCCTCAAAATTTTCTCCATGCAATTGACTTGCTTTTTCTACCTTGAGTCCTAAAGTTACTAAATGAAGTTTAGTAACTCAGCTAGGCTATATCGTGGTTAAGTTTATCAATTTTTTATGGAACTTCGTACATTCCTTCTATTGGGATAATCTATTGTTCTTAATTTCAGGAGGATTTTTTTCCATTACAAATGCTTTTCTTTTCCATTTTGTAATTCTGTACTTCAAAGACACCAATTATTCTTACACTGTCTTGTCTTTGTCCTCCATATTGATTATCTTCTGTTTTAATTTCTCCTTTGTTTTCTTCAGCATTCACTGTTACTGTCTAAATGATTAAAATGTAACTGATTCATAAATGAAAATGTAGAATGGTATAAACAGCAGAAATGAGGATATTTGGATTCTAACTTGGCCAATTCTTTTTCTTAAAGAGGTTTCCTTTCTTGAAAAACAGAAAAATAATGACCCCTCCCTCCTGCCCACTGTATTCTTATGGCTATGAAATGACATTTGTGAAGTACTTCATTCAGGTTCTGACATAGGGTTGCTACTCAACAGATGCTAGTTATTATTACTTACTATATTTTTTACTCCATTCAAGATTGGGGAGGGGTGGTGTTAAAATTCAAGTTCCAAACACATGTCAC